ATTACTAAAAAATAATCTTTATATTGTGGATCTTGAGTAAGGCCACGAGTTAAATGAGTGCTGCCAATTTGCAGCTTAATAATGATTGAGATTCAGCCTATAAATGAAAATTCAATTGATTAGTTTCTTTCTTTTTTTCATAAAGAAAATGGTCAATTATTATTATTTCAAAAATATATACACTCTTCAAACCAAATTTTATTAGCATTTTCTACATTATTTAATCTTTTAAGTATTACTTTTTGAATTCTAACTCTTTTTAATTGTTTTCTAGTAGAATCCCATTCAAAATAGCATCTATCACTCCAAATTGCTATATAAATTTCAGAGCAACCACCTCTAGTTAAATATTCAATGTTTTGTAAATTATTATATGGTATCCACTCAATGAATTTAAAAGGAATAATAGGTTTTAATGTTTGACATCTCTTTGTTAAATTATCAATTTCATTATTTCCAAATGTCCATTCTGAAAATTTTGCTTCTAAATAACTTTGAACACAATGTTCACAATACGATATAGCTAAACATTCTAGTTTGCAGTTTTCACAAATTCTTTTAATTCCTTGATTTAGAAAAACTCTGTCATAGTTATAAGCATTATTTAACATTCGTATTGCCTCTGATTTTTCCTCGTCTGTTAGAGATTCGTCAGCGTAAATTGTTTGTTGTTTAAATTCATACCGTTTGTCTAGGTCGTCGTTTTTATCTGTTAATGCTTCTGCCCTCCTCAATGCATCAACAACTGATTTGTTTAATACAATGAAATAAATGAAATAGAAAGTAATTATTCAAAAAAGAAAGTTTTCGGGATTGCGGGATTAATACTCTGTGGTTTATTCCAAATAGAATATGATATGATCATATGATTGACATTGTACATCATTATTTGCATGGTAACGCAAGATCACATGATTTAGTTCAAAATAAAAGTATCTATAATAATTATTATGTTTTTAATCGATATTATTTTGATTAATGTATGGAAAGCAAGTAAACACATTCATATAATTATATTTTAATATTTATTTTTCAACGTCATGACACATCTGATAAACAAATGATATTTGTCATGATAAAGATTTAAATTCAATATGCGCAGTAAGTATTTCCATAATTAATTAGAAGGAAAAAATAATCATATTAAGAACAAAAACTGGAAAAGAAATGACATGATATGACACACGCCAAGTAAACTGGACCACCACTATCTTCATCATTAAGGACAAAATGATATTCAGCCATTTCGTATTAAACTTCCTTCATCCGTAAACTAAAATCTAAACTGCTGATGGAATTAATTAAATTTTAATGTCCAGCAACCTTACTTATTCTTTCGGAAGTTCCGAAGTGATCCATCACAAAAGAAAATCCTAAAAAAAAAAATAAATATAAAATCCTTGATGCTGTATCCTTGATGTCGTAAATAAAAAAGAAAAATTAAAAAAAAACTAAAAAAAAAAAAAACACAATGAAACTTCCAAAATGATTTAATCCTAAGCGATACATGATTAATAAAGGTAATTTTTAGAAAAAATAAATCGAAAAAAAAATATTCGATCGTTGCGGCCTATTGCGAAAGTACAAAAGTATAAAAAAGTAAACCGAGATGATTGCGCCTCTAGAAGCAATTTTTATCCTTTTCCTAGACGGTAGAATAAGATCTCGCTTAGTAATCAATAGTTCAATTGGTTGTTTCGTATTTAATAGAAAATGACCCATATGTGGGGCACTTTGCAGTAGAAAGGAATCTAATAAATTTTTTGCTTTATTTGCTAAATATGAATTTTTTAGCAAAATAAGTCCAGATCTAACTCAAAAAGTTCCCCCTTTTCTATTGAAAAGCACCCATATAATAATCTACGCATAGTTGTAAATTTAGGGACTGAATGGATCAAGCATGTTTAAAGTATTCGCCGAAATTCTTATTATCCAAATTTTTGAATATTTTTAAAGATGACTAGTATTCATTTACCTTTGGTGTGGTGGTAGGTAGGTATTGCAAATTATTAGGAATTGTCTTAGTTTATTCCACCTAAAATTTCACCTGTTAAAATGAAAAATATGGGAATTGAAAATTTTGAATGCCATTTACCATTAAAGCCCGTGTTTATAAGATACACTACAATTTCTTTTTCTTTGTTTATCATTGAAATTTTCGATATTCAAAGGAGAAATAGGAGAGTAATTAAAAAATTTCGAAAGTTGGGTGTTATTATATTTGTATTTATAACCTTTTGTAATATTTTGAATCTGAGTCTTGACGCAAACTTGTTCATATCATTTTAATGGTTATAATTTAAATATATCTACTCATATTTTCTACAGAATTCATGTTTAAAAATTATGTTTTAAAATTATGTTTTATAGCTAATTCATCGAAATTAAATAAATTTATATATATATCATTAAAATTTTCGCATAATTAACAAATGTTAGTACGCAGTAGGTTCATAATAATTTCCTAAACAATAGTTGCAAAGAGTTAGAATCTTCGAACATTCATTCTTTGTTGTAATAAATCAGCATTTTCCAAGCAAATAAAGAATCATTTTTTGAAATGGCAAGCAAGTCACATTTTTTTAAGTAGAAATTATGCTAAGTTATATTAAAAGCCAAGAAATATCAGTTTATTTTTATATACAATTGTTGTAAATAACTGATTAATTTTTTAAAAATATTAAATTTAATTTTTCTATAAAATTTCTGTACAATTTTGTTCTGTGCGATTTCTCTGTTAAAAATTTCGGCAAGATCATAATTGTATGAAAACTTTGAACGCCCGTACAAGACTTCATTAATCACCTTTACGATTTTTTTAGGAAATATAAATATGATGTTTCTAGTACATTCAAAACCATTACTATACCTGATCCATAGCAATTGAGTATTGCTTTTCTATATTTATTTTTTTATAAGATGCTATTTTATTTTTATTTCGGTATGAATAGGGTTTCGATCCTTATTTAAACTATCCGGATCAATCCGTCATCCGAGCTTAATTGTGATCCGATTGTTTTCCGGATTAATAATAAGTTTGCTTAAAAATTTCGTCTCTCTCAAATTATTGCAAACATGGAAAATGATTCAGGGCTTTTGAAAAAATCGAATTATACAAATAAATTATGATGAGTATGATTCAATGAAAGATACACCTACAACAATTGGAGATTCTTCTTCCAATATAAATTAAAGCACGCGTTCATATAGGTAACATTTCCAAAATCGTCTTGGTAAAAAAAAGATAAGTAACAAATGGGCTTTCTAAAGAAAATGAAATATCAAAAATTAGCAATGCCAAAAAATCCATTAAAATGGTGGAAAGAAATGCACAAAATTTGGCTATCCCTTGTAACAAGTGAACGCCTATTTTCAGATGCCAAACACCTTCTTAGAAATCGTCTTAATCCTGCATTATTGGCAAAATGTTTTTTTAAAACGTAACATTATCGCATGTGACTGGAATAATTTAGAAGACAACAAACTAGTAAATTTATATTTATTATATTAATGAATCTTGTTATTTAAAATCTGGATTAAAATCCGGATAAAAAATTTAATCCGGATCGTTAATCCTTACTCGGATTTTAATCCGGTGTTAACCCGAATTTAAACCGAAACCAGGTTAACAACAGCGATTAAATCTAACTAAGGCCCGTCGTGAGAAAGATTTATACAACTATTTACTTTATACGATCCGTTGTGTAGTTGGTTATTAGTCAGTCTATAGTGAGACATGATAAAGTTTAACATTGTAACGTGGAAATTTATTAACTCAAGATTTCGGACGTCTCTTCTCAACCTTATTCTTTGAACAAAGCGGATTTTCGAGGTTATATACAAAAATTCTAAATACTAATTTAAAATATATATCAAACATAATAAAAATAACGAATATATCAAATATAACAATTATAATAATTTTAATAAATATATATAACGAGAAACTATGCAAATATTTTGTATAAAATAAATGATTAGTCTTTTTAAGATTTATTAATTTTTATATTTTTTGATTTTATTTGGATAGACTTATATAATGAAAGAATTAAAAAAAAAAAAAAAAATCGTAACAGCTCTGGTTACAATTTAATTTGACAAATAAAAAAATTACTGTCACTAAGTGAGATCTACATAATTGTTTACGGGATAACTAATACATGGAAAGAAATTATCGCAACTTACATTTCTAATCAATAATAAACTTAAATTTTTAAATCATCTAAGGACATGTCATGATGCTGCATCAAGTTATAATAAGTAATAAAGTTAGTTTATAAATCAAAGACTAAACATTAAAAAAGTTTATTGAATTAATGTTTACCTAAGTATTCAACTAGTATATATAGCTTGTGAATTGTTTAGACGTTGTTTTTGTTTATCACAGCTAGTTTTGATAAATATTCATCATAAACTTTTACTTGATCTAAAATTTCATCCTTTATTTCCAACTTTTATGTAAAACCAGTTTAATGATAATTCATATAATTCTTTAGAGGATTTCCTTTTGGAAGGATCTTGATCCCAACAATTATCCATCATTTCAAGATAAAATGGAGGTATTTCTTCTTTCTTAATTTTAGGGCGCATGCCATTGCATATATCTATTGACAGGAGATAATCATGTGCAACATCGTTAAACGGTTGATTTCCAGTAACAATCAAATACATAATCATTCCTAAACCATACGTCAGCAGCTTGCGTATATGGCTTTTCCTAATAATACTTCAGGTGGTAAATAAGGTAAAACTCCGAAAATTTCATAATTTGATTGCTTTCCATTATCAGCTGGATCCGCTTAATCCCATATCTGAAATATAAGCATATTTTGAAGAAATTTCTCTCATCAAAAGATTACCGGGATGGAAATCTCTATGAATTAATCCTTTCATGTGAATGTTATTGAGCCCTTTAATAATTTGATGAAGAAGAAATAAATTATCCACCCAATTACGCTTGTTGTAATCGGAATTTAACCAATCACATAGGTTTCCCATCATTAATTCAAGAACATAACATATTCTTTGGTTTGTGGATTTTGAGAGATACCAAAACATCGAAGTACTCCTTTATCTTTAAATTTGACTGGATAATATCCAACCTATTGAAATAATGCATAATCTCGATTAAATATATTCGTGCATAAATTATGATACGTCATGAATCATGAAATTTACCTCATTTAAAAAACTATCATTTGAATCATGCAAACGTTTTAGAGCGACAGCCGCATCATACCGAAAAAATCCATTATCTTCCTCATTGTAATGTCTTAAAATTCCTTTTATCCCAGTTGCTGAATAAATTGTGGCAAATCCACCTTTTCCAATTTGGGTGACCTCTTCAAATTTTTCGTAAGGTATCCACTCAAAGAATTCATATGGACTTCTTGCTTTTTGTTGTTGACTTTTTATGAAATCATCTATTTTTTTTATTTCCACTTCAGTCACATATATTGCTTTGTGTGCTTATTTCACTGAGCATTTTTTGCACCAACGGATATTTTTGAATTCATCTGCCTCTACATGTGAATAAAGATTACCACAATTTAAACAGAGTTCATCGTTTTCATTATAATAAATTTCATTTTCTAATAATTCTGAATTCATGGTTGCAGAGGTAAATCAAATTTAGATTTTGGCGATGATCTACAATATTTGGCGAAGGTATCCTTTTGAAGTTATGATTTTTTGATGATGCATATTCACTTTTTCGCTTAATTTGTTCTTTAGTTGTACTGTACAGATCTTAGCAATCCATTTTATTTCGTTAAAAAATATCTTTAGCATAAAAATTATTATTTGCGTCACATTTTTTTGTATTACATATTCAGTTTATCAATCTTTTTGGTATGGTTTATCGCAAAATCTAATATTTAGATGATTTATAATATTCTTTACCATTTATTCTTTCTAATATTTGAACAATTAGTGAGTATAATTAATAGATTATTATATATGTTGATTAATTATATTGGCTATTGTATTTACCTTCATCAATTGAAACTGATTCTAAATTCGAATTTGATAAAATTTAATTTTTAGCAAACAAATATGAGTATAATTAACGAATTAGAGTGTGGTTAATAATACATGTATTACCTTCTAATAAGGAAGTTTTTTTAGCATCCGAAACTGGCTCTAATGTAAATTCATGAAAAAAAAAGATTTAGAATATCATCAAACCGTCAAATTAACTCATTAGTCATACGAAACTTCATATTTTTTATTCCTTTTTCCTTTTTTTTTTTATTACACTTTTACCTTTATAATTACTGATAGACATTGTTATAACTTGTAATAAAAAAGAAAAAGTTTTTTTTTAAAAATAAAATTATTTCAATCAAATTATCTTGTATATGTTTTTGTGTTACAAAATTTTTGTATATTTGTAAATATCTTTTTTTTTTAAAAAAAAATTTTTCTTTTTATTTTTTTTAAAAAAGAAAACACAAATATCAAAAAAAAATCAAATATAAAGTAGTATTTTTTGCAAAAAATATTCTCTTACTTTTTTTTATTCAGGTGAAATATAGAAACTTTGGTAAAATGAAACATATAAAGATACCTCAAGTAAAGTAGTTCAGCAAGTTCGAATCTCAATTTTCGTCATGGTGGGTTTGATATTCGTGAAGTTCGTAACGCTAATGATACACAAATTCAGTTTTTTAACATTTTGCATTATTTCGGCACTTTAGTTCAAGTAAATCGCCTTTCGTACAAATTAAAATAAAAATTAATAAAAATAATTAAAAAAAAAAAATTAACTGCAAAGAAAATTAAATTAGAAAAATTAATTTAATTAATAAAATTAAACTTCTTTTTTATTAATATAATTAAATGTTTTCAAAAATTTGGTTTTATATTTTTATTTCCTATTTTTTTATTTTATTGTTTTTTAATTTTCGGTTAATTTTATAAATTAAAATATTTTTATTTAAATATGTTTTTATAATCGTGAGTTTTTTTTTTTAATTTATTTATCTAATTTAAATTTTTTAAATTTAATTTTTTTGATTATATCGCGATTTTAATACTTTAAATTTCGGATTGATTTAATTATATAATTTACTTGTTGAATTCTTTTTTTTTTTAATAATTTAATTTTTAAATTGATTCTTTTAACTAATTCTGAATTTTTATAATTCAACCCTCCGCGATTTTTTGATTTTTTTTAAATTTAATTTAATTTTAATATTCGCAAATTTATTTTATTTATTTCTTTAATTAATTATTTCCAGGTATATTCAACTAAACCATTGTTAAATTATTAATATCATTTGTCGACACGTTGATTTTTTTTATTAATTATTTCAACAGAAAAAAAAATAACATATTAAAATATAGTTATTTGGAAGTGATTATACTTTTATTAAATTAGTACCACTTTAAATAATTAAATCATGTGACATTTACGTTCCATGCAAATAATGATGCACAGCGTTGATCATATGATCATACCATATTTTATTTGGACTAAACACGGAGTATTAATCCCGTAATCCGTTAAACTTTCTTTTTTGAATAATTATTTTCTATTATGGCTTCCATTCGTATGGAATTAGTTCACGATACATTGAATAGAATTAATGCATTAACTGATTATTACACAGACGTAGACAAACAGTATGAATTTAGACAACAAATAGTTTACGCTGATGAATCTCTCACAAACGAGGAAAAATCTGTGGCAATACGAAAGTTAATGCAAATATACGACTATGATAAAGTTTTAAATCGAGGAATTAAAAGAATCTGTGAAAATTGCAAGCAAGAATGTTTAGCAATATCATATTGTGAAAATTGTATTCGAAGTTATTTAATAGCAAAATTTTCAGAATGGACATCTGGTAATAATAAAATTGATAATTTAATAAAGAGATGTCAGATAAAAGCAATTCAACCTCATAGAATAGTTGAGTGGATACCATATAATAATTTACAAAATATAAAGTATATAAATAAAGGTGAATGCTCTGAAATTTATACAGCAGATTGGATTAATGGAAGTTATTACAGATGGGATTCTTTCAGTAAACAATTAATAAGATCAGGAGATCAAATTGTTATTCTCAAAAGATTAGAAAATTTTGAACATGCTAATAGAAATTGGTTTGAAGAGGTATGTAATTTAAGATATTAGTAATTGATATTTCTTTATAAAGAAAGAAAGAAACTAATTAATTGAATTTCATTTATAGGCTGAATCTCATTTAATATCAAGCAGTAAATTAGAATCATTCGTTCAATCTTGTGGTTTTACTCAAGGTCCACAAAATATAGATTATTTTCTAGTAATGGCTTTATTTGAAATAAATTTAAGAAAATTTTTACAACAATATCAGCTTACATGGAAACAAAGAACCACTATACTTTCGAATATAATTCATGCAATTTTAAATCTTCAACAAGAAAATTCTATTCATAAAAATTTGCATTCAGGAAATATACTATATTCTAAAAATACTGGTAATTGGCATATTAGTGATTTTGGATTTTGTGGTCCTGCTGATAAACCATTAGAAAGTATATATGGAAATCTTCCTTATATAGCACCTGAAGTTATTTTTGGAAAAGAATATACATATTCATCAGATATTTATAGTATTGGTATGCTTATGTGGGAGATTTCATCTGGACAACCACCTTTTGCTGATTATGATTATGATTATAGTTTTGCAATGAATATTATAAATGGAATGAGACCAGTAATTGTACCAGAAACTCCATTAAATTATAAAAATTTAATGATTCAATGCTGGGATGCAGATCCATTAAAAAGACCTGACATTTATACCCTTAATTATAAAATTTATGAAATGCGAAAATCATATTATCAAAATAAAGATGAAAAATATAATATTAATTTAAAAAATACATTATCAATTATACAAACAAATAGTTATTCTAATTCTATTAATACATTAGTTAGAAAATTTAGTAAACTTTATAATTTTAAAGATTTACCTGAACCAAGAAATATTATTGAAGGTATTCTATCATATTTATTTTTTATATTTGTTATAAATTAAATTAACTTTATTTATTTTAATTTACAGATGAACAAAAAGGTTTTTATTTAGAAATTTTTTAAATATTTATATTTAATTTAATATTAATTTATTTTATTTTTAAAAAAAGATTATGATAGCATGCAATATAATTTTAATATTCAAAATAGTAAGTGATATTAGTTTATATGCAATTAATAAGAAATTTATTAATCATTTGATTATCTTAAAATTACTAAAGATTATATCAATCAGATGTCAAATATTAGTAAAAATATTATATATATATAATATTTATTTTAATTTAATAATTTAAAGCTTTATATAATTAATATTAATAGAAATGAATATTAGCAAATTTAAAAGGAATTCTTTATATCATACTGATGGTAATAAATCTTTCATTATTATTATGCTTTTTAATAATAATTATAATAAATATTTTGATTTTAATTAAAAAATCAAGATTTAAAATTAAATCAAAAAAAAATAAAACTTAATAATGATAAAGGTAATTATTTGTAAAAATTTTTTAATTCTTAGCAAAGTTCAATTTTTTCTAAATTAAATAAAGATTAATATTTAATAACTTTAAATATTTTATTTAGAAATTCATATAAATGATAAATTTGAAACATTATATGCAAAAAAATTATTTTAATAATGGTAAGAAAGTGATAAATCTAATTACTTTATTATCAAGTTTAATATTTAAATTATTTAAATTTCAATCAGATGATAAAAAAATATATAATAATTCAAATCTTTATTTAAAAGAACAAGATGAATTAAAAATTCCTAAAGGTAAAATTAATTAATATAAATTCATTATTATTTTAAAATTAATTTATAATAGAATAATTTCTTCAATATTATTTATTTAGAAATATTTACAGATCAGAAGTCTTTAATTGGTAATTCAAATAGATTATATTATTATTTGTTATTTTATTATGTATTTATTTTAAATATAAAGTTATAGAATAATAATTTATTAATTTAACTATAATATTATTAATTATACATTTAATTTATAGAAGATATATCTAATATAATTTATATTGATGGTAATAATTAATTTCTTATTCTATTATCAAAATAACCATTTTTATCTATTAATGATTTTTTTATTAGAAAATAAATATTCAAGTTTTATACATAATGGTAATTATTTAAATATAATTAAAAATTTTTAAATAAATTATTTTATTGTTTTAAAAATCATAATTATTTATTAATTATTATAAAAGAGTTTTAGGATTTACAATATATAATAAAGTAATTGTCTAATTTTTTTATATATTATAGATAATAATCCAAAGATATATGGTATATAATTTAATTATAAGTTTTTTTAGATAATTAATATTATATTGAGATTAATATATTTCCATTTTGTAGATATAGATGAATATAATGGTATGAAATTTTAGTATTTTAGTTATATTAATAAAATTTTATGAATACTTTACAGTAAAAAAGGAGAAATCTGTTAAAAAATTATTTATGAGTTAATATTTTAATATAAAAATTTATTTCTCTTCTACTGCAAAGTTTCATATTATGAATATTTTGCATTTAATATGATTTTCTAACAAATAATTATATTTGAATATCGACTATTTTATTTAATATAAAATTTGTTAAAAAAAACAGAAGAAAATTATATTCAGCCTACAATTAATATTTGTAAAGGTAATAATAAATCAAATATTTGTTGTATCTCAACTTCGGAGTTTATTTCAACAAAAGCAACCATTTCTCTCGGAATTTCTGCTACTACTTTTATCGAAATTGAGAAGTTGCAGGACTTACTCATTAACCGAAAGGATGATATTGATGATTTACTAAAATCGCAGCCTGTATATGCCATAGGTATTGATTTTCTAAACGATTCTATCAGACCATGTATTTCTTGCTGGGTTGTCAAACCATTAGACATTTCAATCTTGGAATGTCTTGAAGACATGTTTGAGAATCAGTTTGATGTTATATACCAAATATCAGTTCCTTTTAAAAACAATAGTGATCTGAATTTAAGTGAACCATCAAGTAGTCGTGACATTGCTGATAATTGTAATTCAACTGATTCTTTTTCAATTGATGATGAATATTCGAAAAAAGAGCAAACAAATAGAAAAGAAGAGAAAGAAGAGAAAGATAGTGAATATAATGATAATGGAAGTAGTAGTTATAATAATAGTTGTGATGGTGATAGAGGCGGTAATAATAATAGAAGTGGTAATGATAGTAGTAATGGTAGTAATTATAGCAATGGAAATAGTAATGGTGATAATAATATCAATGGCAATGCTGGCGGTGGCGGTGATGGTGGTGGTGGTGGTGGTGGTGATGGAAATGAAAAATACGAAACAGATAATTATATAGATATATCTTCCGAAGGAAGTGTTTATAATTCTGTAGATCCAAAACTCTTTCAAAAATTTACCATCTCTGCTCGTCTCCGGGCTAAAATTTCTCCCCCTAACCTTGAGTATGAGATTGATGTATATCTTTGCAAAACAGGAAAATTGCTTAGTTCTCTATTACCAAGAATGCGCGGCTGCGGCTATTACCTTGATTCTGTTGAAGTTTGTGTTTCTCCAATTCCATGCACACCTAATAATACGAATGGTTTATTTATATCAAAAGACACACCATATCCACAACAGTTAAATCGAACCGTTGAATTTTCAGATGGTCGTGAAACAAACATTGAGGGACAATTTAGTGGAGAGATTGGATCAGTACCTAAAATCTCAGTGCAGGCAAAAGGTGGTGTAAGACATGCAACAAATACTAAATCCATATCAAATGAATGGGTAGTAAGTTATTGTGGTTGTCATACTACTGGGGATTCTTGGTCACATCGATACGTTGCTAATGACAATGATGTTTTTCGCAGAACATGTTATGTTCCTGAACGCCATTCCGCTAAGTGGCATATCAAGAAAAATATGAGTGGATTTCGTATTATTATTACTCAAGTATTACGCTATAAGATTATCAATTCTTTTAAACTCTTTCCATCAAAACCAAAGTTAATCAAGTGCCCTGTTATTGCCCATGTTCTTGAGATAACTTTTAACAAACTTGAAGACTTCAATGCAAACTTTGCAAAATTAGTAAGGCCCGATGAAGAACCTTATTACAATGAAAACGATGTTAATATAGAAATCTCAAATATTCAGGAATTGGATGGGGAAATCATAATTAACCGGTCATTTGTACCAAGAGATTAATTGTTATTTAAGTTGTTTAACCTTCATTTCAATGGCTTAAAAATCATCAAATTATTTTTTTTTTATCGTTATATATATATCACTTGTATTGTTCAACACTGATTGTCAAATAAGTTTTGTTAATTAAAATAAATCAGTTTGTAATTGAACGATTCACTTATCTTAATTTACTGCATTGTGTTTTGTATATATGATATTAAATTCATAAAATTCCACAGTCAGGCAATAAGTATTATATACAACTTATTTTCAAATTAACTATAAAAGAAATTTAACTAGGCTAGATGTTTTCCACTAAGAATAATTCCTGTATAAGAAAAAGCTTTTCGGCTGGAATTGATATAACTGTTGAATTTTTCAGCTTGAATATACATAATTATATTTATAACAATACCAAAAATTGAACTTAGATGAAAATTCAACTATAAATTGAGGATTTGTGAATGAGATTTTAAATTATTAATAGTTTCATCAGATTAAGTATAACAGAGATGCACGTTCTTTTTCTAAATGTGAAAAAAAAAGAAAATGATTTAAGCAAAAAAAAAAAAGTCCAAGTTCTTACCATCGATCTACAATCGATATTAATAATTACGCTAAAAAGTAATATGCCTTTGCAGTGAATCAGCATTTATTAACTTGATTTCATTTGTTAAATTATTTCAATCATCATAAGAAAAAGTTTATTATTTAATCTTTTTATTTTTTTTTAACAGCTCTTTGTCTTAAAGAAATTTTTAACATATCTAAAATGCCAAGTTGACTTAATGTATAATTTTCGAAAGGTCTTTATCTTTGAATCATCATCATGGTTTATATTAAAATTAATAATATTATGCTTAGCGAATTTTTTTTTTATTAATATTAGTTATTTTAGACAAAAACGTCGAGAAAAGTATAAGCCGCCAAGAAGTTTCTTTGCGCAAGACAAATACATGGATTTTAAAGAAAGTACTTGATATTCTCTGATTATTATTTAATGCTTGTTAGGTTTTTATTTGATAAAAAAAAATGTATATATATTTGTATAATAAATACTTCTGAAATTAACTTTTAAAATAGATTGTTATCAAGCGGCATAGAAATGCTATGTAGAACAATACCTTACATGACAAAAATATACGGCATCTTCGGAATTTATTAGTAAAATATATGAAAAATAAGCATTTTTATGGTATAGTTGTCCTCTTTTTTTTTATATCTATATAATTAATAATATTAAACTTCATTATTTATAAAAGCTAAATTGCTATGAAGATTTTTAAATGGATGAATGATATTAATATTATGATTGTAAGGTTATTCCGCAAATAATCATCCTTTATAATCTCATCATCTTGTCCTTATTTTAGAAACGTTTCCCAACGTTCTTTATTTATAGGAAGCTGAACTTACACCTTGGAAACTTAATTATTTAAAAAAATACTAATACTAACACTTAAACTGCAAATACCTTGTAGAACGGTCCGGAACCTTGAAGCCTGGGTTGAAATCGAATCGTAGGTAAGTTCTAAAGGAGAATTTTTTGTTATTATAAAAAAAAAAACCAATATTAACTTACCTTTGTAAACCGATCCGGAATCAATAAACATCAGGATCTTGGATCTGAGGAAAGTCCCAATGGAGTGGAATATTTTCTAAAAAAAATCTAACACTAAATTTACCTTGTAGGACGTTCCGAATCCTTGAATCCTTGGATTGGAATCGGCTCGGACGTAAGTCCTAATGGAATAATTCGTCATTTATTTTTTTAAAAAAAAACTAATACCAGAATTAAGGTTATGGAAGCGAGTGTGTGTGTGTTTTTTTATTTATGGTTCATATAAATGTGTTTTTAAGGAACTTTAATGAACTTTAGATTTTATATCAAGGTAAGCATTGTAGATTCTTTTTACCTTGCATGACTAATTTATTTTTTTCGCTGATTGGACTAGCCAACAAATTCAATATTTGGGAGATTAGCTATTAAAATCGAGTTACGAACATAGTAAATCATATAATCCGTAACGTGATTTTAATATCCTACCTCCCATTTGGTTAGTTCAGTTACTAGATGAGGTTTTAACATATGATTTTGCATATGCTTTGAAAATATTATCAAACCTAATCTAAATCTGGTTAGATCGAGAAGAAAAATGATTGTTCTTTTTTATCTTACTGATTTAGCTTAGAATGATAAAAAAATCGAGCGATGAATTTCGATGGTTTTTTTTAAAAAATCTTGCGCCCCTTCTTTTTTTAGGATTATTTTTAATTTATTTTCATCTTATTTTGATCTTTGGTTCAGTCGCCCCTGAACGCAGAGATCCAACAATACAAATTTTTTTTTTCCGAAAAATTTGGTCTCCCATTTCTTTCTTTAGGTTATTTAATTAATAACTCTTTTAATCTTTTTTAGTCGATTTCGTTAGGATAGGAAGCATAGTAAATTTTCTTTTCGATTTTATTTTATTTTTTCAAAATTATTTGTGTGAAAGCAAATGAGAATTTGTATTTTGCACACCCTGCACAAAATGCACCCCCTATATTGAGCGGAGTTAGGTTAGGTTAGGGTTAGTATTAGGATTAGGATTATGGTTAGAGGTTATTTATCACTACGCATCACACCCTTTTGAGTTTCATTTTTATGGGTATATGCATAAAAAATTAAATAATTTAAGCAAAATATTATTATTATTATAAGATTAAATATTTTCAAAATACTTCTATATTCATATTTTTTCTTATATCTCTTTTTGAAGTCTTTACAAATAATACCTGATACTTCACAATTCTTTTTCAATAAATAATTGTATCTTTTTTTTCAATTATTATCATTATTTCTTCTTAAATTATCACAATTAATACTAAATCTATCATAATTTCTTTTTTAATAAATTTTTCTAAATTATCATTCAGATTCTTTCTGAATCATTACAATCAATAATTAGTTTATTTTGATACTTTCTTGACCTATCTTTATGATTTTTCTATATTTTTTAGAATATTTTTTATATTGTATATTTTATAATGATAATAATTTTGACAATTATAATAAAGAATTGTTATATATTAGAAAATATTAAAAAATATATATTGATTTATCTATATATAAATATAATTAAAACTAATTGTTAATGATACTATTAATGATATTTATTTTTTTTTACATTTTCTATGAAAATGAAAATATAATCATCCTTTTTTTGTGATAATAATTGGTTTAAATTTTTATTTTATGAATAATTTTATAAATCATAATTTATTAAAATATTAAAAAAGTGCTTTTAAAGTTATATTTTTTTTTTTTTTTTTTTTTTTTTTTTTTTTTAAAGTGCGGTAGTTCCACATAATCTTTATTATGATAAAAGTATAATAAT